ACTTAGTTTGTATACTCTCAAAACAATTCCAAGAAAAACTGTATACTTGGTTTTTTGATATTTTTTTGGGGCCTAAAATATGTGAGTTTTTCTGTAAAAAAATGTTGGGGCACAAAAGCAATCCGCGTCAACAGCCCACAGCCCACACGGTAAAAGCTAGGATGCTGAAATTTGGGCTCAAGTATCCTATCATGATGTAGATGCACACTAAGAGGGGATTTTGGAAAATTCGAGCTCCAAAGGGGGGAAAACGAGCTCCAAAGTTTGTTTGAAAAATCCGCATTTTTTAGCCGACATAAAACTTGGTTTCTGAAATCAATAAAAGAATACAAACAAAACTGCATACTTAGATTTTCGAAATTTGAGCTTGAATTATTGGGGTTTTAATATTTATTCACCTTTTCAAATGAAAAGTTTGTGTTATAAATTAAGTCCGATCGATTTAAAATTTGGGTAATGTAATCTACGTAACTAAATCTACAACTTTGCATTCAAGGATTTTCAAAATATGCATTTTACAAAAGCAGGCAGAACAAACAATACAAACAGTTGGGGACAACTAAGTATACATACACATACACACATGCAAGCAGCTGTTCGTGTAGTTGCGTGCAAACGATTGAAATAGCCAAAGCAAAATGTGAGACACTAATGTGTGAATGTCCATACATATGTGCACATCTATGTATGTACATATGTATCTACATATGTACTATATGTATGTACATTCGTCTTGCACTGACAGAGCAAGAAATGTTAATTAATTGAAAATTATATAACATTTTTAAAAGTAATTTTTTCTTTGTTTAGTGCATTTGGCATTAGGGTTTTTATATCCTGTACCCGTAGGGTAAAAAGGGTTTATTAGGTTTATGCAAAGTGTGTAACATGCAGAAGGAAGCATCTCCGACCCCATAAAGTATATATATTCTGAATCAGCATGAATCCGAGAAATCGATCTAGACATGTCCGTCCGTCCGTCCGTCTGGATGAACGCAAGGATCTCAGAAACTATAAAAGCTAGAATAACCAAAGTTGGCTTCCAGATTCTCCTAGGTCCGAGGAAGGACGAGTTTATTTTATTTTTTGGAATTTTCCCTCCCTTTTCCCGCTACAGAATTTCGTCAATAGCGTCCACATTTCAAATGCTACCTAAACCAAACTGCACACATAATTTATACCTATTTATCTACTGTTGTTTAAAATTTTATATAATTCGGTCAATTCTAAGAAAAGTTATTAGCGAAACAAATTCTGGCCAGTACAACCCCCCCCCCCAAACTGCAGCAAAAAGTTCGCTCTTCTTCTTCCTCTTTTTGCTGCTGCTTTGGGCGCATATAACTCAGTGACGGAAGTTTACCTGGGTACAGGGTATTACACTGTCGGGCTTGCTCGACTGTAGCGTTTGGACACAAGATCCCTCTTATAGTGAAAGTGAGCACTAAGAAGGGGTTTCGGAAAATTCGAGCTCCAAATGGGGGAAAACAAGCTCCAACGTTTGTATGAAAAATCTACAATTTTCATCCAATTAACTTCAAACTTAGTTTGTATACTCTCAAAAAGAATACAAAAAAAAACTGTATACTTGGTTTTTCACCTTTTTTCCTGGGGCATGAAAAAGGGGGGGTTTTCCGTGGAAAAATTGAAACACAATTAACACCCCACAGCCCAAACGGTAAAAGTAAGGAAACTGAAATTTAGGCTCAAGTATCCTGTCATAATGTAGGTGCTCACTAAGAAGGGTTTTTGGAAAATTCAAGCTCCAAAGGGGGGAAGTCGAGGTCCAAAGTTGGTTTGAAAATTCTGCATTTCTGAATCGATCAACTTTAAATTTGGTTTTTATAATCTATTAAAGAATACAAACAAAACTGCATACTCGGTTTTTCGAAATTTGTTGGAGCTTGAATTATTGGGGTTTTAATATTTATTCATTTTTTCAAATGAAAAGTTTGTGTTATAAATTTTGTCCGATCAAATTTGGGTAATATAATCTACGTAACTAAAATTACAACTTTGCATTTAACGATTTTTAAAATATGCATTTTACAAATGCAGACAGAACAAACAATACAAAATATCAAACAGTTGGGGACAACTAAGTATACATACACACACACACACACACACACACACACATACATACATGCAAGCAGCTGTTCGTGTAGTTGCGTGCAAACGGATGAAGTAGCCAAAGCAAAATGTGAGACACTAATGTGTGAATGTACACACATAAATACATATGTACACATCTACGTACATGTACACATCTATGTATGTATGTATGTTCATTCGTCTTGCACTGACAGAGCAAGAAATGTTAATTAATTAAAAATTATTAACATTATAACATAAACATTTTTATGTTATTTTTTCTTTGTTTAGTACATTTGGCATAAGGGGTATTTAGGACATCGGACTACAAGGGCGTACGCAGGTTGGGCAGGGGGGACATTGCTCCCCCTAGAAAGAATTTCGCATTATGAATTACACCAGCACCATATGTATTACATACGTACATACATACATATGTACATACGTCTGTATGTATAGTATGTACATACATATGTACATCAATAAGTATGTATGTACGTACATACATTCTTACATACATATGTATGTATATAATTAGGTTTGTATGTATGCAGTGGGCCATCGAACACTGTTGTTTAATTGCAATAAATAGTGTTCTATGGTTTCAAATCAAAATTTTTAAAACAACAACAACAACTTCAAGTTATTGACTCGCAAATCTTCTTTCGTTTTGATCATTTACGGCTGTTAATTTGCATACGCAAAATGCCAAAAGTTTACAGTTACCGTACACATACAAATACATTTGTATGTATGTATGTATGTGTACAGTGAACAATCGAATGCAGTATTATAATCAATAACTCTCAAACGATGGTTTTCGATGTATTTGTATTCGACATGTATTACGATATATCAACACAAGTATCGATATTTTCGATATATCGCATTTGATTTTATTATTGGGGTTTTAATATTTATTCACTTTTTCAAATGAATAGTTTGTGTTATAAATTTTGTCCGATCGATTTCAAATTTGGGTAATGTAATCAACATTATATCAACAAATTGGCATTCAACGATTAAAATATAGCAATATGTTTTTTAGTAGCCATATATCAAATATCAAATAGTTGGGAACATCACATACACACACTCACACATACATACGACAGGCAACAGTTCGTGTCTATGTGTGCCCATGCATACATACATATGTACATGCATACATATGTAGCATGTACACATGTAGCATGTACCTACAAAACAACAACAACAACTTCAAGCTGTTGGCTCGCACATCTTCTTTCGTTTTGATCATTTACGTCTGTTAATTGCAAAGGCAAAACGCCAAAAGTTTACAGTTACCGTCGCTAGGCAACGACTGCGTAAGCGATAGTAAAGCAGAAACCGAATAACGGAAATGTATGTATGTATATGATTTGTTCTTATTGATCTCAATAAATAATTAGATTTTATTATTTAAATATTCTGCTTATTGTATTCAAACTTCGATATTTTGATGGTATCGGTGGCTTCAATTATCGAAAGTTGTACTCTAGCAAATTGAGATGAGAATTGTCAATGCTTTTTGATCATGGCTCATCGCTGCACGGCATTGACACGAGTGCCGTGTTTCATATTCAGTGTTTGTACGTGACCGCACGAAAAGACTCAAATGTGAATTTAAAATTAGGATATACCCTTATAATTATTCCCCTTTTTTGCACATAGTCTATCTTAAAACGTTGCGTTATCTCTATATATAAAACAGTTTGTCCTGACTAATTGGTGATCAACGCACAGCCCAAACGGTAAAACATGAAATTTGGACTCAAGTATCCTTTCATAGTATCCATCATAGTGCAGGAGCACACTAAGAAAGGCTTTTGGAAAATTCTAGCTCCAAAGGGGGGAAAACGAGCTTTAAAAAATATTAGTTATAGTGGTCATGTTCGTTTAACGAAATAGTTTGGCAAGAACAAAAATGTAATGGTCTACTGGACAATTTTTGGTCAAGAACATTAAATGCTCACTTAAATACCATAAATGCCTTGCTACTGGTAACTAATAAGTTTAAAACATATGGGTAGGTTATGCACACACAAAATAAATACAATTGGAAACATTATATTGAGCCGGGTTAAGACGGGCAATACCTGGTAGTACTTATATATGTATGTATGTATATAGGCGGATAACGCCTGCATGGAACATTTAAATGTATGTACATATCAGCATTGCCGAACGCTCTACTTTTGGCGGGACGTCCCGATTTATAATTTAAAATTAAATGTCCCGCGTCGGACTTTTCGGGGATAACTCGACCGTGCGTACAACGTGCTGAGGAAGCACACAGTTAAGTCAGGACTGGCAGTCCGCCCGGTGCGTAACGAAGATATGTACTTACATACATATGTATGTATGTACGTATAACCATACATAGTACTTATTGTACTATATTTGCTATTTGGAAAATGAACTCTTTAAAAAACTTTAGAGAGCGTCGAAAGAAGAATATCATATAATAATCTTTTAATTATAAGCACATTTTACTTAGCCCAGTAAAGACGGGCAAGACCTGCTAGTCAATAATATATGTAAGTATGTATATACTTTGAGGGGTCTGCCACGCCTCCTTCTGTGTGTTACATACATTCGCACAAAACTAATATAGCCTTTCACCCTTTATGTACAGGCTAAAAAAATAACACTACAAATCACTTTAAAAATTAGAGTATTGTTTTGTACGGCAAGCGAATCCTTGAAAATTAATATGAAAAGCAATGTAAAAATATTTTTGTTCAGCCAAAAAATAACAATCTACTACGCAGATAAACATGAAAAGAAATGTGTTACGTTATCAGTGCAATCTTTTCTCTTAAGTTTGCAGAAATGAGCGGTTTTAAATGTTGCAATGTGTTAAAATACTTTTGTCCACTGTTGTATTATTTAGGAAATGCTCTTACTCTGGCAATTCTGCATGCATAGCTTTTAATTGATCAACTAAAAAATAAATCTTCCTCTGCAAAAATTCCGGCGACGGCTCTGAGATATTTAAGTTAGGAGACGTTTCCATATTAGTTTAATTTAACTTTTGATGATGTTCATGTATATGTAACTAAATTATGATTAGTCCGAGTGTGACCGTCTACAAGAACGCATAAATACTAAAACACTTCTTGGATTATTCTATTTACACATTGCAACGATATTCTTTATTTTAGCAATATATGTATTTTCGATGGGCGTTTTTTTGTAAATATTTTATGCGGATTCGTTAAATTTATTTTGCTGTCGATATCGATTACAACGCACTTCAAGGGAGCGGTAAAAATTAGTAGTTATAACCAATAATTGTTTTACGTGTTTTATTTACAAAAAAAATAGGGAAATTTATGCAATTTTTTTTGTAATGAAAACAGAAGCACATTAGGATATATATTTTTTTTAAAAAAATCCATACTAAAACAAGTAAAAAAGCTAAAGTCAGGTAGCCTGACTTTGAAATACTCTGTACATATGTTTAGAATAATTATATAAATTAAACAAGTAAAAAAGCTAATGTCGGGTGTCCCGACTTTAAAATACTCTGTACATATGTTTACAATAATTATAGAAAAAAAATAAGAAAATTTAAAAAAATTTGATCGATTTTACCTTTCTCGGTATTCGAACTCACGTAAAGGGTATATAATTGCACATACACAAAGCAATTGCGTCTATGTGAGTGTATGTATGTTTATGCGCGTCTATTTGTGTCTGTGTAAGCATTTTCGCAGTCAAATAAAAAGCAACATCAACAACAGCCGCGGGCAGCGCTTGGGCAGCGCTTGAGCAGCGCTTCAACAGCAAATATATTTATGGATATAACTTCTTGTTAAATCGGTCTATCATAGTGAAACTTGGCATACGGACACATAATAACCAACTGGGGGTATTCCAGGAAATTCCAAGAATTACGGGAGTTAGAGAAAATCGCAATTGTCGCAAAATACACATTTTCACAAAATACACAAATGTACTGCTCGATATGTACAACGCGTGCATCCAAAGCGGAACATTTCCTGACTGTTGGAAAACACAGCGACTGGTCCTCATAAGCAAGGGTAAAGGGGACCCGGCAACCCCATCAGCTTATAGACCCCTATGTATGCTAAACACAGCTGGAAAACTGTTAGAAAAAATGATCAAGCCAAGGTTAGCAATCGCTATAGAAGATGCTGGTGGCCTCTCCCCCCGCCAATACGGATTCAGACCAGGAAGATCCACGATCGGCGCAATACAAGAAGTGGCGCACGCAGCTATGGTATGCCAACAAGGCAATCATTACTCGCGCCCACTAGTACTATTAACAACTCTGGACATAAAGAACGCATTTAACAGCGTGAAATGGAGCAACATGATCGACTCTCTCGAAAATCAATTCCATATTCCCGAGTATTTGATGAGGATGATTCGCAGCTATCTTGAAAACCGAAAGCTCTTTTATCAAACGGAAAACGGTGAAAAATTCACCCAAATATCTGCGGGAGCCGCTCAGGGCTCAATACTAGGACCTGAGCTCTGGAACATAAGCTACGACGAAATTCTTAGAATTGAAATGCCCGATGATTCATTCCTAGTTGGATACGCGGACGACATTGTTGCAGTCATCACTGCGCGAACTCTCGAGCATGCACAGAGAAAACTGAACCAGGTAATGCTTCGTGCTAAATGCTGGCTGGATTCTCATGGACTCGAGTTGGCAATGCAGAAAACAGAGCTACTGATTGTCACAGGATATTTTAAAGACGCAAAAAGCTATAAAATATCTAGGAGTTTGGCTAGACACTAAGCTGACATTCGGGCCGCATCTCCAACATGCGAAAACCAGAGCAGCAAATGCAACACAATCGCTATGTAGGCTAATGGCGAATGTCGGTGGTCCACTACAGTGCAGACGCAAACTACTGATGGAAATAGTAAACGCTATTCTGCTATACGGCTGCGAGTTCTGGGCAGACACATTAAGCGTAGAATGCAGGGCAAAACCACTACTGAGAATCCAAAGAACTGCGGCGTTAAGAATAATTAGCGCTTATCGAACCGTCTCCAAGTCAGCAGCACTTGTTATAGCAGGTGTCAAACCAATTGACCTACTAGCTAGAGAGCGGAAGGATATTTATGAGCTGCGACATGCAGGGCAAGCCGATAGACAAGCAATAGAACGGTGCAAAGAAGAAACGTTAAGAACCTGGCAAGATCGATGGACAAACGAGGATAAGGGAAGATGGACAGCTAGACTCATCCCTGAAATAAAACCCTGGGTCCAGAGAAAACACGGAGATGTTGACTACTACACCACACAGATGATAACCGGACACGGCTACTTCAGCTCTTTCCTCCATGCCATGGGAAAGAGCCGACAAAGTAGCTGCGTGTATAACGACGCCGAGTACGATACCGTAGAAAAAAATTATTATTATTATTATTATTATTATTATTATTATTATTATTATTATTATTATTATTATTATTATTATTATTATTATTATTATTATTATTATTATTATTATTATTATTATTATTATTATTATAAAAGTCAATTCATAATTGCAAATTATGAGTTACTTAAATTAATTAAGCTATAGCAGCGGGGGCCTTAAGCTTATTGGGGGTGTAATAATTCTTTACATTTGTTTGATTTTAGCTTAGGTCTAAGGATGTAAAAATATTGATTATATTAGCTTGTATATTTTCGTGGCCTTAAGGAACGCTATTGTTTGTTGGATTTTGGTAGGTGCTGTTATCTCTTTTATTGATTGGTTAAGGTATTTGGATCTTTCTATTTGAAATTGGGCGCAATCAAGTAGGATGTGGTTTAGAGTAAGGGGAATTTTGCAGTGTGGACAGGTTGGTGGAGCAGTTTTGTTTGGTATGAAGTTGTGTGTCAGATTTGTGTGGCCTAGTCGGAGTCTCATGAATTTAATTGCATCTAGTCGGGGCGTGTTTTGATATGGAATGTTGTCGATTCTATTTTTGCTAGGATTAACCGTTTTGTAGTATGTAGAGGAGTTGTTCCAAATTTTATCGCTGTATATTGATAAATTGTCTTTTTAGATTTCGCTCATAAATGAGGGGGTATTTAAAGGCATTTTTGGCCGTTTGGTCCGCTGTTTCATTGCCAGCGATCTGGCAGTGTCCAGGGACCCAGACTAGATGTATTTTGTCGCCTTTTGTTGCTGTGATATTTCTGATTGTTTTGGCATAGAAATTTTGGTTAGTGGTGTTTTGTATCGCTTTGAGTGAGGAGATGGAGTCTGTGCATATAACAAATTTCCCTTTCTGTTTTGCTGCGTATTTACAAGCTGCGAGTATGGCAGCTATTTCGGCAGTAAAAAAAAGGAAAATTGGGGTAATTGTTTGTACATAATTATGTCGTTTGCCCTTGTGACACTGTATGATACTCCGGCCAGCGACTTGGAGCCATCGGAGTACAGGAATCTTCTGTCCGCCATAGTTCCTTTTGTTGGTAGACTATTGCTGGAGTGTCGTTTTTAAGGTCCGAGTGGAGGGAAGTGTTTATTATTTTATTTTGAAATGACCATGGGGGTTTAGGTTCTTTCGGGGTTTTAAATGGTGATATTTCTATATGTAGTTCATTGCAATAATGTATCGTGTCTATTAAGGAAGATGGTATTTTGGGTCGCCTCTTAGCTTTTTTTATTTTTTGGTAAATACTCTCTATTGGTGAGTTTTTGGCATTCATAATGGTCTTGAAATTTTTTGTTTTGCATGAATAATTCTTGTTTCTATGGGTAATATGTTAGTCTCATATAATATGTTATTGATTGGAGTAGTGCGATATGTGCCTATTGCTAAACGCAATGCCGAGTGGTATATTGTTTTGAGGCTGTTGATGATAGATTTGGGTGCATTACCGTATAGGTGTAAGCCAAAGTCTATTTTTGAGAGGATGATTGAGTGAATTGCTTGAATCGGTGTTATAATGTGGCAGTTGAACTTGGTGCTAGATAAGTTGCAATTTAAGATTTTCTATGTGCTGGTCCCATTTATAGTTCTTTGTGAATGTTAGCCCAAGTATTTTGATTGAGGTCTCGTTTAGCAAGGAGAATGAGTTCGATTGAAGTTGGAAGTTGCAATTCTTTTTACGACAGATGTGGAGGTGTTTGCATTTGGCTATGGAAAGTGATGCTCCAGAATAGTTGCACCATTGTAGTATGTCACACAGAATGTTGTCGATATTAAGAGAGTGTTGTGTTCTGTGGATTTTTTTAATTATTGTGTAGTCATCTGCGTAAGCTGAAAAGTCTAGTGGTTTGTGTTTGGCTATTGTTTTATATAGTTTGTTATATGCAATGGCGAAAAGTATGGCTGATAAAGGGGATCCTTGTGGAATTCCGTTTTCTAGTGGTTTTTGTGTAGAGTGAATTTGGTTGGCTTGAACTATTATTTTTCTGTTGGAGAGAAAGTTGACTACATATTTTATAACTTTTGGTCCTATTTTCCAGTTGATGAGTTCGTCGATGATTGTATGGATACCTATCTTGTCAAACGCCTTAGCAAAATCTAAAGATATTATGGACAGGTGGGATTTTGTTGAGAGGGATGATGTGATCTAACATTGCTAGAGCATCGAACACGGATTTCCCCTTTCGAAATCCCATTTGATGGGTGTCGAGTAGTTTGCTGTTCGTGGCTAGCCACCATAGCCGTTTTGCAACTATTTTATCCAGTAGTTTTGCGATGCAAGAGTTAAGCGATATTGGGCGATAGGAGGTAACTAGAGTTTTGTCTGTATTTGGTTTCTGTATAGGGATGATGTTGCTTAGTTTGAATTGTTGTGGTATGTGGCCGTCAAATATATTGTTAAATAGGTTTAAGAGGCGTCTTTCTAGGTTAGGGGACAAATTTTTTAACATTGGGTAACTAATGCGGTCTATGCCTGGTGTCTTTCCTTTAAGTTGGTTTAAAGCGGCTTTTAGTTCGAGGATAGTGATGTCCTTTTCCAGGTTCATAGTTGAAGGAGGTGGAATATATGATAAATTGGTGCTTACTTGTGCTTTGTGCTGTCGGAATAATGTGGAGAAGATACTATCTGAGGCTGAAGTGGACCAGTAGTTACAAA